GCTGCACTCAATATGTCAGCAAATTTGGAAAACTTAGCAGTGGCCACAGGACTGAAAAAGATCAGTTTTCATTCCAATCCAAATAAGGGCAATGCCAAAGAATGTTCAAGCCACTGCAATTGTGCTCATTTCACATGCTAGCAAGGTAATGCTCAAAAATTTTTCAAGCTAGGCTTCAACAGTACATGAACTGAGAAATTCCAGATGTAAAAGTTGAGTTTAGAAAAGGCAGAGGAACCAGAGATCAAATTGCCAACATCCTTTGGATCATAGAAAAAGTAAGGGAATTCCAGAAAAATATCTGCTTCATTTACTATGCTAAAGCCTTTGACTGTGTGAATCATAACAAACTGGAAAATTCTTAAAAAGATGGGAATACCAGACCACCCAACCTGCCTCCTGAGAAACCTGTATGCATGTCAAGAAGCAAGAGTTAGAACTGGACATGAAAGAATGGACTGGTTCAAAATTTGGAAAGGAGTACCTCAAGGCTGTATATTGTCACCTTGCTTATTTAATTTATACACAGTGTACATCATGCAAAGTGCCAAGCTAGATGAAGCACAAGCTGGAATCAAGACTGCTGAGAGAAATATCAATAACCTCAGATATGCAGATGACACCACCCTTTTGGCAGAAAGTGAATAGGAACTAAACAGCCTCTTAATGAAGGTGAAAGGAGTGTGAAAAAGCTGACTTAAAACTCAACATTCAAAATATGAAAATAATAAATTTTTTCTTGAGTTTCTGCTGTCAGCATCCTTTCCCTCACTTGGAGTCACAGTCCACCTCGCCTCCCTTCTATGCCCTCCAACACTGCACTGTCTCTGGACCTGCTGTGGTGGCAGCTCAGACTCTAATCTGGTCCTGCTCCAGAGGTTCAAGAGGGAGGGGACATATATATATATACCTATGGCTGATTCATATTGATGTCTGACAGAAAGCACAAAATTCTGTAAAGCAATTATCCTTCAATAAAAAATAAACAAAATTTTAAAAATATTTCAACATTCAAAAAGATCATGGCATCTAGTCCCATCACTTCATGCCAAATAGATGGAGGAAAAATGCAAACAGTGACAGACTTTATTTTCTTGGGCTTCAAAATCAGTGCAGATGGTGACTGCAGCCATGAAATTAAAAGACACTTGCTCCCTGGAAGAAAAGCTATGACCAACAGTATATTAAAAAGCAGAGACGTGACTTTGCCAACAAAAGCCCATATAGTCAAAAGTATGATGTTACCAGTGGTCATGAATTGATGTGAAAGTTGGACCATAAAGAAAGCTGAGCGCCAAAGAATTGATGCTTTTGAACTGTGGTGTTGGAGAAGACTCTTGAGAGTTCCTTGGACTGCAAGGAGATCAAACCAGTCAATCCTAAAGGCAATCAATCCTGAACATTCACTGGAAGGACTGATGCTGAAGCTGAAACTCCAGTACTTTGGCTACCTGATGCGAAGAGCTGACTCATTGGAAAAGACCCTGATGTTGGGAAAGACTGAAGGCAGGAGGAGAAGGGGACTACAGAGGATGAGATGGTTGGATGGCAACATCAACCAAACGGACATGAATTAGAGCAAGCTCCGGAAGATGGTGAAGGATAGGGAAGCCTGGAATGCTGCAGTCCATGGGGTTGCAAAGAGTTGCACATGACTTAGCAACTGAACAACAACAATAATTATAAGTTAAAAGATTTAGAGTCTTCTAGTCTTGACCTTACCATGCAATTACTGTGTGAATTTGGTTGAGCCTAAGTTTCCTCAGTTTCTCTTATTAGAGTGTTCTTTTCCCTAACTAAAATAGTTCTGCATGTGTTGAAGTGTCATTCTGTGAACTTAAAGAGACACTGCTTGTCAAGAGCAGATGGCTAGGGCCAGTTGCCAAGGCACTGGCTTCTCCAGCCTGGCTGTAACAGCTGCAGGCTACAGTCCCACCTCCATGTTCTGGCGATGTACCATTCTAAGATGTCACAGAAACATGCTTGAGTTGGCCAGCACCCAGTATGATATTTAGAAGAAAGAAAACAAAAACTTAAGAATGATCAAGTTCTAAGTAATATCAAACAAAAGCATGCTATGCTTCTTCTAATTTCCTCTGAAAGCATTTCTCATGTTTGCAAAGAGAGTAAGCTGAATATGTTAGCCCATCATACTTCCCGATGTGATGTGTGGGCTGGTAGTTCATCACAAAATTCTCCATTTTATAGGAACGAGTTAAGTTTCAATGCCAATTCTTATTCTTAACAGCAAGCTGCCTGCTAACCATGGTGTTTATATGTTAGTTTCCTGAAATTACAACAATATTATTATTCTAAAGTAGCAAATTCATCATAAGCATGCAGCAATCCTATTGCTTAGGGAAAATAAGTTTTTCCTATTCTTAAAAAATCACTATTTTTTTAAAGAATAATCACTTTTATCTTTTCAGTCTACCATGCAAATTCATAAAGACCATAAACAGATTCATAAATTATTTTGTAACTTGCCATCCAAAATACTGTGGCTTCTTTTCCAAAATTGTTTATTCATCTGTATGTTCAAAATTACTTACTAGGGGCCTGTCAGACATAAAGAACTTGAAGAGACAAATTCTCAATCTCTGTTATAAGATTTTAAAAAATATTTTGGAGGCCTACAAACCTCTGCAATTCCATTTTATAAATATCAAGAATTAATCACCTTAGTAACAATTGTGTTATGTGTTAAATGCTAACTATTTTCTAAACAGAATTGAAAACTGACTCATTAGCTGTCCTCTAAAAATTTCAGCTCCTGCCTCTATCCCTTTCCTCCCCTTTGCAATGCAACTACGCTTTCAAACAGCATTCTTTAAAAGGCGGCTTTATGGCTTTGGAGGAAGAAGCTGATTTCACAGCCAGATTTGCCACTGCTGTGGAAAACAGAGTGCACATGCAAGCCAGCTGAAGTCATAAGGGCTGCAAGGATTAGGGCCGCGGGGGCCTCCACTGCTGCTGTCAAACTGCAATTGGAAACAGCTTTTCCAAAGTACGGCATGAGAAATCAGGAATTCCTGTCCACAGCTCCCCAACCCACAGGATTTTTAATCAGGCTTGGTATTACCCATTAGAGATCAGAAATATGAAAATCATGATGAAACCAAACAAGAGTATTTTCTAGTTTCCAGGTTTTGTTCTGCCTGGATCCCTTCCAAGCCTGTAATCATTGTCACTCACCAGGAGATGTGGGTTTGATCACTGGGTCAGGAAGATCCCCAAGAGATGGGAATGGCAACCCACTCCAGTATTCTTGCCTGGAGAATCCCATGGACAGAGGAGCCTGGCGAGCTACAGTCCATAGTGTTGCAAAGAGTCTGACATGACTTAGGGACTGAACAACAACAATGACCAATTAAAAAGGGAACTGCTTCTGGAAGCTCTGGGACAGGAGCTCTAGGAAGGCTGGACCCGAAGGCAGGGCAGGCTCAGTTCAGTGACCTGCCTTCCTTCCAACCCCTGGATATGCAGATTGTCTTAACTGCTCAAATTCACTGTACCTGACACTTAGGGATAAAGTAATTTTTGCAGAGATCATAGAAAAACTATTGAGAGCATTAATAAACTAGAATCATTCAATGAGAGGTTTATTTTCTAAGCTACTTCAGCTAAAGGAAAGAATCTTTTCTCAGGAAAACAAGTTCAAACCATCAATTTAGTTTAAAAAAAATTCAGGATTTGGGATTAATCCAGATGAAGCCTAATTTCCAATACCTTTGTCTAGATTTAGAAGACCTAGAGGTCATTTATGGCAACCTGAACTTCACTTGTCAACTTTTTAATGATTTTTGAGACATAAAGGCTAAAGTAGGAAAATAAATTAACCAGAGATTTGATTTTAAAAATGAGCTTATCAGATAAACTATAAACACATCTGTTACATATGTCACTCATTCTGATCATGATACAATGCTATGTTATACAGGGATTAGGTAACACCCAAAAGTGGGCCAGCTGTAACTTTCACCTTGAAAGATTTGTAATTAAAATTCCCTCATATGTATGACTTCCAGGCAAGGAAGGAGTTATGACTTGATTTTTTTTTTTAACTTGCCTTAAAAATTCCAGTCAAATTTCATCTATACTACCAAACTTTCCCTGGTCACCTTGAGTCAATTTCTCTTCTGTTTTTCACAGCAAGTTTCTGGGACCTCTCTTCAGCACAGGACATTCTATATAACAAATACAGTTGCTAGTAGATGAATATTCCCCAACTAGATTCTGGGTTGTTTCCCCAAAAGCAATGATTGTGTCTTATTCATTTCTTTAAGCCATCTCCTCCCCTGTTCTGAAATTAAAAACTAGAATTCTAAATGAAACAAACAAAAAAATTCCCTTCCATTGTCTAAAATGTATTATTCATTTCTTAGGGAAGAAAATAGTTTCAGGAAAAGAGTATCAGCAAATGATGGACAAAATTTCAGAGAGAAGAAAGCTCAGGGGGAGAGCATTATGCACAAACTGGACGATCAGCCAAGGTGAACTAAGGATCTGAAACAGCACTGAACTCTCACCATAAAGCCTGCCCCAAACTGGAGCAAATTTAGACTCGTTAGGACTTTCTTCAAGAAGCAGCGATCAATTCTTGAATAAAAATTTTCCAGAAAATCCTTGTCCTCTAATAAAAGCAATTTCTTAAGAACACCTTGGAAATCTACTTAATGACCATAAACAGATTCATAAATTATTTTGCAACTGGCCATCCAAAATGCTGTGACTTCTTTCCCAAGATTGTTTATTCATTTGTATGTTCAAAATTACTTATTAGGGGCCTGTCAGACATAAAGAACTTGAAAAGACAAATTCTCAATCTCTGTTATAATATTTTAAAAAATATTTTGGAGAAATTCTCATCAAAACAATCAAATCAAGAAAAAATTCTGGTTAAGTATAAATTAAGTAGAATGTTCCATCATCCGGGCCTCATCTTTGTTCTGGCAATGAAATCTACTTGCTAAGAGCAATAAAACCTGAACGGCCCTTACCTTCGTGAATATACTTCTTTTGAGCATCTTCAGGATGAAGTAACTCCAATAAAGATTAAGAACTTGCAGGACCATGAGCTGTAGGTTGAGGAAGATGTATGAAAAGAAAGGTTGAAGGTAGTGCAGAGGCAGAATCAGTGTGCAATATAAAATCCTGAAAAACCAAACAAATGAGAATGTTTCGTTACAGTCAAAGAACTTCTGAATTTTCAGTGAGGAAATAAGTATTTTTTCTCCCAAGGCATACAACATTTATTTCATTTCTAATAATGTGCAGGAAAGACTCAAAAGAAAACAATATAGTAATATTACCTTTTGTATCATTTTTGGAAAGTCACAAATGTTCCTCTACCTCAGTTTCCTCTCTGCAAAGAGAACTGTATATACTAACCCCACTCACCTTCCTGGGATTGGAGAATACGAGATAATGCATGTGTGTATGGGTTATTATTACCTTTTGGACACAGTCTCATTTATTTGGCATCAAAAGTGAATGGGAAATTCTATGTGAGTAAATTTTCTGGATAAAACAGACTTTTAAAGAAGCAAAAATTCTATTATTACTTTTACTTCCACTTTCTAAAGTGAATTGAATACTTTATTAATTTCATAAACAGACTCCTGGACGCAATATGAACTGCCCTCAATGACCAGGATGCACAGTGCCTTCAGACACAATTGCAGTATGAAGGCAATCTGTTGTCTTCCCAAACTGCAAACATTGCTGTTTAGACATGTTTGTAAGTATATTACTTGAATTATAAAAATAGTTTGTTCATACAAAATTGGAAAAATAAGAAAGTTGCCCATAGAATTACAATTTTAAAAAATAATACTGCAATTTTGTGCATTATCTTCTAATTTTTCTTACATATATTTAAATTTTATTTTTAAATTAACATATAGCAAAATTGACTAGTTGGGGGTGTACAGTTCTACAAATTACAATAACAGCATAGATTTGTGTAACCACCACCACAATACAGAGACAGAGTGGTTCCATCAACCCCCAAACCTTTATAGTCATACCCCCAGGCCTAGCACTTGGCAACCACTTATCTATTCCCCACCCCTTTAATTTCGTCTTATCAAGAAGGCCAAATACATGGAATCACACAGTGTGTCAGCTTTTGAGATTGCCTTCTTTCGCACAGAGCCTCTGAGAGTCATGCAAGTTGTTGTGGGGATCAATGGCACTATTTTTTTAAACTAGTGAGTGGTATTCCATTGTGTGGGTATACCCATTAGTGACCATTTGCATTATTTCCAGTTTTTGACAACCGTGGACAGAACTGCTATAAATATTTATGTAATATATATGTTTTTGTGTGCACATGAGTTTTCATTTTTCAAGGGTAAATACACACAGGTGGGATTATTGGGTATCACACTGCCAAGCATATGCTTAACTTTCCAAGAAACTGAAAACTTGTTTTCCAAGATGGCTATTTTGCATCCCAATCAGCAAAGAATGAGAATGCCAGTTGCTGCTCATTTTCAGCAGCACTTATTATTATTCTGTAGAGACTTTGCCATTGTAGTAAAAGTATCACTTATGGGATCTTATGTTCAGTTTCATTTAGCTTTAAATCAAAAACAGTTTACACACAATCCCTAGAACCCTATCTCTGACAAACAGCAAGGAGATCTGGACCCACAGGTAGACCATGGTCAGCTTGAAGCAGTTACAGAAGATGGACCATAAGTCCCTCCGCCACTTTTAAGGTTTTAAGAATCCAGACACCTTGAGGGGGAAATCTTATAGCATGCAGGTAGCTAGATATGAGCAGAGAAATGGGGACAGGGACCAGGTGGCAGGAAATCACGCAGCTTGTAAACAGCAGGGGTCCATAGGCAGACAAAGCAAAGCAGAAATCTTCAGACTGATACGAAATTGGGTGATAAGGGTCTGAACAGAAGACAAAGAACGGTGGGAAAAGGTGGGAATCTCCTGCGTCCAAATGTAACCTTTTGCTCATTATGATCGTATTAAAAATAAAATTAGCCTTATAGATAAGAAGTACCCATCATGCACTGACACTTCTAAGCTAAATAAGGACAAAAATCCCTCCTCCTCTCAGGAAAATGGAGCGGGCATGAAAATTGGGGAAGATGCCCCCCCCAAATTCCTCCTTAGTGAATATTCTGCCCCTTCATTACTATGCCCATCATAACCAGTTTACCAAAGAAATCCAGTGTGGCAGCTCCTCACCTGCCTGCTCACTCTCCCTGAGAGCGTATCCTTACTTAAATAAACCCCCACTTTATGTTCTTTAAAAAAAAAAGTTTACACTGTTTGAACAATTTGGCATGCTAGGGGAAGCACACTGACTGAATCCACCAACCCTGGCCAGGCACCATAGTCACCATTCGCATGAGATGTTTTACGACAGGAGGTCCTGGTAAGGAACATGGAACTAATAAGCCACCACCAACCGGAAGAGTTCGGGAAAGGTTGAAAAGGAGACATCATGTGTCTGACCACATCCCAGAATCCTCGTCACTGGCATCCATCCTGGCGGAGCAATGTGTGCACCAGCAGGAAGGACTCTGAGTCAGGATGATTGGTCAGAGACAACCCAGAAACTAATCCCATCACCATAAAACCTGAGACTGTGAGCCATGGGGCAGAGCAGCTCCCTGGGTTCCCTCAGCCGACTGCTCTCAGCCCGGGGGCCCTTTCCCAACAGAACCTCTTGCTCTGTCAGCACATGTCTCTCCTCAGACAATTCGTTTCTGACTGTTAAACAAGAGCCTGCTTCTGGGCCCTGGAAAGGGTCCCCCTTCTTGCAACAAGTAGTGACTCTGGTGGGGACTCTTCTTCACCACGACTGACATCCTGACCACTTGGGTACTCAACTGACATGCTGACCACTCAGGGTGCTTGGGGACCAGCTTGCCTGCCGATGGACCAGACCCAGCAGCTCCAACCGGGACCCTTTTGTCCTTGGTCTCCTCCTGATGCAGACAACTGGCCAGGGTGCCCAGACTGGGTAAGGAACAAGAGACTTTACTGACCTCTCTCACCTTCCCTCTCCTTAACCCTTCCTATCCTACCATTTTTTCTAGTCCCCCAGTCTTAGACATAGGAATCTGCTCGAAGGACCTCAGACTGAGCTGAGGATCAGAGGCCAATGACCTCTGCTTGGGAGAGAATTCAAATTCTGGTTCTGTTCTGGTCTGGCCTGGTTTCTAAGTAGGGCCGATTTCTAGTCCTCCCTTCTCTGGAGGTCCAGAAGTCCCATGACACCTGGGTATCTGCAGGTGGCAAGAGACGTCTATAAGGTCACCCCTTTTGCTCCCCCATCCTGCCTCCTACCCCCTCTTCTTTCAGCCTGGCTTCCTTTCCTCCCTTTGAAATCTTTGAAGACTTGAGATTACTTTCATTCACTCTGTTAGAACTTGGATCTGAAGTTCTGTCTCTATAGGAGGTTTTCTGAGAGAATATAATCTTGCATTTAAGGGAGTGTCTGACTGGGATGGTTGGGTATATGTATGTGTTCTGTGTTGTGATTTATGATGGCCATTTTGCTTTGTGTGGCTGCCATTTTGTTTAGACCTGATGCTGTTTTGTTAGAGCTTGATTTTCTCTTCCTTGCCTTGAGATCAGGCTCTCAGGGACACTAATCTAGACCATCTCTAATTCTTAAGACTGAAGGGCAAATGGGAAGAAGCTTTTAAATATGCTATTTATCCCAACTGTTATTTATAAACTAGTGAATTTTATATTGTAATATCTGATTCATGACTAAGTTTAGAAAACGAAGCCAAATCTTGTGTTGTGGCTGTCTGGATATGTGTGTGTCTCAGTATGTGTCTTTGTCTCTGGATAATATTGTTGAGATTAATTTGTAAATGAGCTCTATTTAAATGGCTTAAACAAATGTAAGTGCTTACAAACAATTACAAATTAAGCTAAATGAATTTCAGGTTCATGTGAACTAGGAAATATTCAATATTAAATTAATAGTGGTTACATAGACATGTCTTTAGAACCACCAATAACACTTCTGTTGTACCTAGATCTACTAGAGGTCAAATAAGACTGTATTCTATCTGTTACAAACTTGTTAACAAGAAAAGGAACAAACACAAGGTGGAAAAAAAAATTTCAGAGAAGTGTTTTCAGTAAGAAAAGGTGTGAGAAATGAAAAAGTAGTGAAATGAGTGAGTTATGCATGATAAGGATTTTCTAAGATTGGATTACAATTAGTTGGGTAAGTAGATTTTGTTTGGAATGACTTAGCCACAGGAAAACTGGTTAGAACCAACGAAGTCCACAATGGCAGAATCCACTTTCACTAGACTTTGAGCCTTGGTATGTACACCCATTGTGACACATGCAAGCTAAGTGACACACCCACCAGCATTGGCTAAATCTGACTGACTGTTCTAAACCCTTTTGATTTTGGGGGGACAAAATTTCCTAAATCAAATTCTATTGAAGTTCTTTTGACCTCTAGTTAACTTTGGGATGCTTCAGAGGGCCCCTGAAACATCCTAAAGAGAGATATATTAAACTAGTTGTGTTTATTTGGTTGGTTAAATTACAAAGGAATTATTATCAAATGCATAATAAATCCTCTCAGGTTATATTGTATGATAAATGCTACTAATATACATATCCTAGAACTTACATGCGGAGAAGGCAATGGCACCCCACTCCAGTACTTTTGCCTGGAAAATCCCATGGATGGAGGAGCCTGGTAGGTTGCAGTCCATGGGGTCGCTGGGAGTCGGACATGAGTGAGCAACTCCACTTTCACTTTTCACTTTCATGCATTGGAGAAGGAAATGGCAACCCACTCCAGTGTTCTTGCCTGGAGAATCCCGGAAATGGGGGAGCCTGGTGGGCTGCTATCTATAGGGTCGCACAGAGTTGGACATGACTGAAGAGACTTAGCAGCAGCAGCAGCAGAAGCAGAACTTATATGGAGTTCCTAAAATTCTGTCATGTTCTGGTATTCTAATGGGAAACCTGATGCCTTTACAAAGGTTAACAAAAGGACTGAACTGGTGAATATGCTTATAACTTTTATGGTTTCTATCTGAAAAAATTTACAGGTTTGAATCAGTGTTTTCCAGAAGTAGGGGGAATATACACCTCAAGCTAATTATGGCATTAATTTGGTAAAATTATAAACAAATGGAAAT